AGGACGCAGGCCTCCGCTCCCGGGCTCCTGGGGAGCCGGCGGAGTGGCGCAAGGGCCCATCCGGCGCGGAGCCGAGAGAAGGCAGGCTTGGGACTGCCGCTGCCGCTTCCTCCCCTACCCAGCGGAGCCTTGCCCTGCGGGGGAGTTTTCCCCGCAGGATCGGGATTCTCCCAACTTGAGGAAGGGTTCCAGTGTCAGTACGTGTTTGCACGTGGTTTCTACATCCCTGCTCAGTGATCCAAAATTCTCCAGTTTTAAGTGAGACCGCAAGAGAATTCCAACTACCACTTGTTCTTCAGAATCCAAAAAAACTGGAATGTAAGATCAAAATCATACTTATGCTACCTAGCGATGCCTGGTGCATTTTTACACTGGGAAGTGCTTCCCTCAGGTTTCACCCCCGACATAAATTCAGCAGGTGGCCTCTCTGTGCTCCTGGCACACGGTGGGGGGTGGGGGTGGGGGAATAGGAGCTGTGCCACCGAAATGATCTGACATCAGAAGTGGAGTGTAAGGTAGACAAGTTTGCTGATAAAACCAAATTATTTGGGATGTTTCAAATGAAAATGGGGCAGCGAATACTTCTACAAGAATACCTCCATACAATAAGAGTGGTATTAATGGCAAATGTGGGTCAAAGTATGTATATATATAAAGTGGGGCTCCTGAGAGCAAAGTTAGTTCCTTTGAACAGGGAGAATTAACTAGAGTTTGCTAGTGGAATTCAACAGGAGGAAAAGGCAAGGAAGAGAGAGGAGCAATCAGAAAAGCTATGGGTGCTCAGGGATTGTATGCTTCATCTCCTGACAGAAGTTTATTGTCAATTCAGAGTTATTAAATGCTGCTTCCTGCTGAGAGGAATTCTTAATATATATACTCTCTAAGTTGACAGCACCTAGTAAGATAATCTGAAAGCATGAAAAAGAACATAAAAGCCTTTTACTGGTGGTACTTAAATAGGGAAAGGAAAGGGGAATCCTGCCTGAAAATAAACTCTGTACTTGAAGCAAGTGCAGGCTTGTAGTGGGGCTTCAAGAAAAAGTCAGATTGGAATAGCAAGTGGTTCACTTTGCCTGATGAGAGAGAATTAAGTGTTAGGGATCAAAGGAAAGAGCAGGAACTGACAGAAGAAGCAAGACTCCCAAGAAGCATGGCCAGTGGAGGAGAGCAATGGTCAGAAGCAAGGAGATGTGGGCAATGGCAATTCTCTCAAAGAGCCTCATCAAGTACTAGGGCCATCATGTCTCAGCCAAATGTGATGCTTCTGGGAACTTCTCTTGCTAGCAATTTCCCCTTCAGAGGGTGAATGGAAATTCAGCTAACCTGGACTTGATACAAAGAAATAGGGAAGGCTTAGTTAAGAAAGTGGAAGTTGGCACATCAGCTAAAAGTGACCAAGTTCAACTTCAAGTTTGTTATGGTCATTGATTTACACAAATCTAACATTAAAAACTACCAAGGAAATTAAGAACCAAAGGAAAAGGTAAAGTGCATAAAAAGAGCTTAAGTGCAGTCCTTCAGATACTAAAAAGAGAATGAAATAATAATAAAGGAATAACAATATCCTATTAATAAAATATAATTACTTGCTAAAGAGCTAAATTAAGAACCTCCAAATATTAGTATATTAAGGAAAACAAACTCTAACTTCTCAGGAAATCAGAGGTGATAGTGAGCTTCCCTAAAATCAAAAGAAATCAATGGAGAAGTGGAACTTAAGTGTAACTAGTTAAAATTCAAAAGAAATTGGTTTCTACTTTGAAGGTTAACTATCAGTAATTGTGCTAGTAATTAAAATAGATAAAAATAAAGGAGGAATTCCCAGTTTACCATGCCTGGCACCCTTAATTAATTCTTTTATCTATGGACTTGAGACTCCTCATACACAATCCAACAACGGATAAATTGTTCCTTGTCTGAGAGGAGAAAATCAGGAGAAAACTTTCACCTATGTGTCAGTAAAGGAAAAATGAAGGAAAGGAAAAATGAAGATTTCCAGAAAGAGCCATTGAAATGATCCAGGGATGCCATAATTCCCCTTCAAATATGTCTCAGAGGAGTTTTCCCTTAGAAGAAACAAATACTAAGGGAACAATAACATAAGTGTATTTTATTTTAGGTAGTGTGGAGATAGCAGATAAGAATACACCCAGAGAGAGAGACTGCAGAGATTACTGGTTGCTGTCATCTCATTCAGATAAAGTTCTCTTGCACAGCTATGCCAGTGTTACTCTCACTCTAGCATGCATTGTCAGGCCCACGAAATTTGGTAATAAATGCACAAGGTCAGAAAATGAATTTTTAATTGCTGTTGTACTTGTGAATGGTTGCTAACTGAGGTAGTCACTAAACAAGGAGTGGGTGTACTATAATTATCTCCTTTCACTAAAAGTGGACATGACGATAATTCATGTCCACATTCTAAGCTGATGTAACATGGTTCTCAATATTCTGAATGTTGAAGAAAATCACAGATGCTCCATGTGATATGAAACCTATGTTGCCCATGTCATCTTTTCTTCATCTTTTTGTTCTGGTTGTGATACCTGCATTGAATGATTTATGCACATCATAGTCTGAGCTTTTCTGGGTAGATCTTTTGAATAATACGTAAAAATGACTATAAAAGAAAAGAGTCCTTAATGTTAGATGTCATATACATGGCAGGGCCCTTCCTTAACAGGCATGCTAAAGTGCAGTCCTTGATGCAGCAGGAAAGTCTGCTGGCATTCCTTGCCTGCTGTATCTTAGTAGGGGGGCTGTGGGTGGGATATCCTTACATATGCCCTAGAGTCAAGGAGGGCAATTGGTGAATCCTCCCCACTCCTTTCTCCTTCCAGCAAATGTCACCAGCCGGTGGGGAAAACATCCATTGTGGGATGGAGCTGGGACTGAGGGAGGAGGTCAGTGAGCCATCGGTCAAAATGTGCTGCTAAGACAGGGCATTGGTGGACGGTTGGGGTCACCTCCTAGAGTGGGAGAGGCTCGAGTCTGGTTGGCAGTTCCTTGCTTCACTGGGCAGGCCCCCCACTGCCCAGAATCCATTCGGTGGCTGAGGTCTCTCCAGCTTTACCAGGTGGGCTCTCCCAACCCGATAGATGCTCCTGCCTTTGTTTGCAGCAGACCTCAGGACTGGGAAAGGGGCAGGAAAAGAAGGGAGCTGGCTTTTGGCAACTGTCTTCCCATGCCAATTGCAATGACTTCAAAAAGCCTGTCACCTGTTGGGGGGGGTTGTTTTAAACACAGATTTAGAACTTTACTTTGCAACCACTCCCTGCTGTATAGCACTAAGCCTATGTTTAAAAGTGACTAAAAAACACCTGACAGGGTCAAGGGTCCCTTCTCTCTCCTGTTGTACCTCTCAGCTTCAGGAAAGGGAGCAGCTGACATGCGCTGGTGGAGGGAATTGCTGGACCAGAGATCTGGTGGTAGAAGTGTCAGTTTCCTTACTTGGAGAAGTGGGGAGAGATGGCTCTTTGATTGATCAGGTTTCCAGGCTCACAGATCAGCTCATGGGATCTGGGACTTGGCAGCTAGAAATCCCCACCTGCTTCTCTTGCCACCCCTCTCAGGCCTGGCTGCCTGTGGATCAGCTTCCAAGCCTGGGAGACATGGCAGGAAAGACAGGGAGGGTGGTGGATGCAAGGGGAGAGCCCAGCCAGGACAGGACTATACTCCTGCCAGAATGTTCCTAAAAAACAGGGCCCAGGTATTGAAAGGGAAGTGGTGTGCTCACAGCAATCTAAAGGAAATGGGCAAATTGCACTCTGGATTGCCTAAGGAACCACATCTCCATGTCAAGAACTTGTCAGGAGAACAGGGAAAAATTAGAACATTGAAACTGGAACAGCTAAGTTTGTGGGCTGGGAATGAGATGAGAGTATCATCATAAGGATATGTCATTTTAAAATTATGGGGCATCTTCATGCTGTGGTAACGGGAATGTGAGGGTGAGACCATCCTATACCTTCATATGCCAGTGGATAGAGAGAAGTCATTTGAGAAAAGCAATATCCATTGATTGAAAAGACATACTTCATAGCTAGATGAAGCTACCTAGTACAAAATAAAATAAGGTGTGTATATTATAATTGGCATCAAATTTTATTTAGATGAAGTTAGCACACAATTTCCTAATCCAGAAGTCAGACTTTTGCACACCATGCAATAGCAATTGTTCCAATACCTTCTGAAAGCTACAGTGGTCCTTAAAAATTGTGAATCCTTTTGAATTTTCAGTATTTCTGCATAAATATGACCTAAAACATGGTATGTTCTCCTCACAAGTCATAAACCTATATAAAGAGAACCCAATTCAGCAAATGAACAAAAATATCATTTAGTGGTGAAAATGAACCAAAGCTACATATTTGTGTGTGGCAAAAGTATGTGAACTTCTAGGACGTTCAGTTCACTGGAAAGGGAAATTAGAGTTGGGATGATAATCAGGTGTGAGTGTGGGAGGTCCTGCCTTATTTAAAGAACAGAATTCTGGATATTCACTATCGAAGTCTGATCAGGTATGTGGAAGTGTGTCATGGCCTGACAAAGGAGATTTCTGATGACCTGCGAAAAACTTGTTGATGTTCCCCAGGCTGGAAACCTATTTCCAAAGAGTTTGGACTCCATCAGTCCACTGTCGGGCAGATCATGTACAACTGGAAGCAATTCAACACCATT